ATGGCTCCTATATCAATTTATTTCTCTCTCTTTCTCTCTTTTTCTCTTTGTGACAGTAATGAAAAGGCATGTCCTGGTAATTCGCTCTCGTGCAAATACACTGAGGCAGGAGAGAGAGGGATACATGCGGGGGGGATGGAAGAGGGAATATCATCTCACTTAGGAGGAAAAATGAAAGAGAGAGAGAGGAAAGAGGGCGGTAAGTGGTTTACAGAAGATAAAAAGCTCAGACAGTGGAGCATAAAAGGATGAATGTAATGAAAGCGGAGAAATGGGATTTTCTTAGTACTGTTTTCCGGTAATTACAAGAACAATAAGTGAGGTAAATAGCACATTAACTTTATTTGTCATTGTGACCATTAATACGGTCTCTGTGCGGTAAATATAAATAGATTTTTCCCAGTTTTCTCAAATTTTACTTGATTTAGGTGATGTACAAAATATTTGCTATTCACAATGACTTGGTGACAAGGTAAAATTAATCAATGCTATAAATGCTGTGATTGTTTATATGCTATATAAAGTATTAAAATGTAATATATATAATATGTATATGTGTGTGGCTGTGAAAAAAGTAATTATTGTGCAGGTAAATATGAATAAATATGTATATAATTACAGAAAATAAAATAGAAATTACAGAAATTTGATAGAAATCTATCAAATATGCATAATGATATATTTATATGTATGGATGGATGATAAAATTATGCATTAATTTGTAAATATTCTTGTTACTTTTGTGAAAAACAATAGAAAAAGATATATATTGAATATTGTAAAATGGCAGCAAAATATTCAGATGTAGCAATATCTCAGGCTTAATTGTCACATTAGCATTAAAATCTGTGCACGTTAGCTGCCACAACATGTTAATTGAATCCAGACACCATGAAAAAAAAAGCCTCCAGATGAGGTTTTACAGCTCACATAAAATGCTACCAAAGCATAAAGCGCATTAAGAGTTTGTTTGCACCTTTGGTAATAACATCTATTGTGTAAATTGAGACTTAATCACAGTTTTCCACTGATGTAATATTGTTTATTTTTATTACATGCTCAAATGAGGCTTTCATTATTCCAGATGGGCTCTCGCACTTAGAGTAATCTGCCATCTCTGCACATTTCTAGCCAGAGATGCATTTCTCTATAGCCTTGTGCTTTGGTAGTAATGATGTACGAATGCTGTGGCCATCTGCCCCAGCGTGATGTATTGTAGCCCAGAGATGACCTTTGTGGCGAGTGGCTGGCGCTCTTCAGTGTGGGTTTTTAGCCCACTAACAGGCACTGATGCGCTGCCCTTTGTCAGCCTGACTGGGTCTGACAGGCATGCTGGAACCGCAGGAGTGATGGGACAGTTAATGTAGAGCATTACAGTCATACAGTGAAGAGCTGGGAACGTCTCGAGCCAGTGTTAGATGGTTGTACACCTGTAGGTCTATAGAATTAGAGAACATGGTATGTAAATCTCTGTCTGTATAGATCTATTAGGCACAGACCAAACTGCCCTTAAAACCATCAAGTATCAAAAAAAAAGTGTTGTTTGGTACCAAATTTCGATAATCTCGTCCACACTACGTGACTAAAAAAAACGCATGTTACGTGACCATCATGCTACACTACATAAGAAGATTTGTAAGATGTATACTACACATTTACTCAAAACTCACTTCAAACCACTATCGAGTGCTTGTAATAACTTCCGATTGCGATCTAATGTGTGTTTTGGCCATATAATGTTGCTGAAATTTGTAGCCTTTTGTATCAAGCTAATTGCTATACCGGCTTACCATTTCTCACGCAAACACCCTGTATTGTTATGAAAATAGGCCGAATCTTATGAAAACCACATGCAAATCATACTGTCGTAATCATGTATTTATTAGCTTCATGTTTCATCCATAGAAATGTTTCTTATGTACAGAACTGAAAACGGAAGTGTAATGGATGTTTATAAAAGTGTGAAAATGTCAACAAGCTGAAGAAATAAAATGAAAGTTTTTTTTTGAGAAAATGTGTAATGTAGTCTTGTTAAAACTATTTCCTAAAATTGGTATCGGGAAAAAGTATCGTTCAGGAACCGGTATCAAAGTAAAGGTATCGATATTGAAAATTTTTGAACAATAATTTTTACTTTAAAAATTCTGGACCATAGCTTTACTATTAGGTGTATATAAACATTTGAAATAAATTAAAGTCACAATGAAATTAGTAGGGTAAACGTACCTATTAAGCTCACCAAAATCTACATTTTTAGTGCACAAGATATCAGTTTCAACACAAGAAGTAATGTTAAAATAAAATAATCTCTCACACAAAAATACTTCATTTTATTTTAAATGTCAAAAGCATTATAATTAAGATGTAAATGCAAAAAGTATGGCTGTGCTTAATGGGTACATTTCTGTACCCTTTAAGCACACCCCTGTTCCCATTAAGCTCACATCATGTTTTATTAAAAATTCTTGTTTATTTAACCTTTTTAAAGAATAATTGAAAAATTCATAGTGAAGTGTCATTTAAGCACATTGCAAAATATATACTAGTCCACATTCAGCTAAGTAACACATTCAAAAATCAAATAAAACAAACCTATAAAACATTTCATTTTAGGGGGCTGAACACAGAAACTAGCCTCATTATGAAGCCTCTTATTAAATGGATGTCAACTTATCTATCGTCTCCTAAGGCTGGAATACACTACATGATTTTTGCCCCAATTTTCCACCGATTTACAATCTGGAGAAGTTGATGCTAGTTGCCAAAGGTCAGAGCCAGTCTGTAGATTTGAGTTGACTGATTCCATAGAAAATTGCGTAGTGTATGATGGTCACAGACACAGACTCCTATTTTCAGCAGATTTTAAAACATTTCTGCCTGAGTTTGTTGTGATAGGAAAGATTTTAAAGTCTGCTAGTGTGAGATCCTCAGTCGTTTAGTGTATGATGGCCAGTTTTCCTTTGTGACTATTTACAAGTCGGTAAGTGTATGATGCCTGGTGTTTTAAAAATCTGTTCAGATTTTAAAAGTCATGTAGTGTATTCCAGCCTTTAGCTGCTTTTTTCTATAAACTATAGTTTTCTAAAAACTATAGTTAGGTCTCAATTTTGTCATCTTAAAGCTGTGAAAATAAGTTAACCATTTTATAAAGATTAAATTAAAGTGAAAACCATCAGTTTATCTGTAAAGTCTGTTTCTGGAGTATTTACATAGACGTTCAGTGAGGAAGAGCTTAAAGAGATTTTTAATACATTTCATGTAATATTTATTAAAATGACAATATTTTGCAAAATAAATAATCTAGGTCATGTATTAAGTTCATACATTTTATTATGAACAACTATCATTAACAATATCTATGAAATTACACTTTTTCTTATTGATGTCACACTGAAGCTGTGTGATTTTCATAGTAGTGTACCCTTTAACACTTAAATGCATACATCGGGTCTTTTGCGACCCGGGACATCATTCTCTACCCTCTTCCTCCATTTTTTAAAGTTAGACATCAACTTTCTTAGTATTCCTTAATCTATTCATTAAATAGAATTGTAAAATATAAAAGAATGCCTGTTTTCTGATTAATTTGTTGTAAAAAGTGCATAGGGTCGCTAGAGACCCGAGGCATGTAAATGTGTAAGTATTTTTTCCTGCGCAACTATATTTACATATCTGATGATTCAATATGTGCAATGCATCTTTTTTCCTCAAGGTGGCACTGTTTGATACACAATGATGACGTGACGTTTCACTCATAATTACCGCAGGCATAAAACAAACGAATATCATCAGCAAACATTGAAGTGGTTTGAATGGCTTTACTGCAGAGCAATTACTATACGCAATGAAATATAAATGTCACTGTCATTTGATGCTGGATATGGTGAATAAGCTGCCAGTGATCAAAATATTGAATATGAAGTCATTGAAAACGATAGTTTTGAGAATATGGCTGAGATCGTGAATATGAGGCAGATGCTGAATGTACTGGGGAAGTGTGCTCTGACGATGACAGCGATGGTAAAACCATCTGCTCTTCATATAATAATTATATGAATATATTATATGAATTATAAACAATTACAATTGTTTAACTGCAAAAGTCGGGCAATTTTGTCTCAAATTCTTTGACTGTAAACTGCTTTAATTTGGAGCGAGAGATACGGGCGAGTGGCTTCATTGCATCAGATATATGCCCCTCACAGCTGATTGGTCCAGTTTGGATTTGTGATCTCTAACCGAGAATAAAACCTGCTCCGGAGCAGGGTAGCCGTGTAGCATAAGTTACCATGGCGACGAAACCAGCTAAAAACCAACCCACCTTCTTAAAGGGATAGTTCACCTAAAATTGAAGGTGACTTTGTTTCTTCAGCAGAACACCAACGGAGATTTTTAACTCAAACCGTTGCAGTCTGTCAGTCCTATAATGTCAGTGGATGGGAATCATGGCTTTGAGAGTCAAAAAACATACACAAACAAAACCAAATTAAACCCTGTGAAACCGGCTTCATGCTACAGGCCAGTAGTTGGCAATGTCACTTAGTAAACAAACAGGCCAGTAGTTGGCGATGTTACTTAGTAAACAAACACTACGCAAACATGTAAAAAGCAAGGACATGACGTCACCATTTTCACAAATTTACATTGTGTCATTTTCAAAAGTTTGTTTTCAGGCTCCCAAAACAATGTTGTTGCATAAATAAATGGCCAGAACGCATTTTAGGTTTTCAGTTTTTAGTTGAACGCCCCTTAGAATTTGGCCATACCACTTTGGCAAATAAAACATAATGCAATTAATGTTTCACCTATAGTAACTGAGCTTCTGATTGGCTGAAGGTTTTAAAATGGTCCAATCACAGACCATTTCTCAAATTGAAAATGGCTGTATATGTGCTAAAGATGCTTTAATGTGTCCTTCTGTCTCTCTGTCCCCCTCAGCTTATCCCGCTCTCAGTCCAGTCGTCTTTTTCACTCCGTTCTCCCCTGAGTGTGATAATCACCACTGCTGGAGGGGTAGATGGGGGAGGAGGTGGATGGAGATGCCCCTGCACCCCTGCGGTGGTTTATCAGCCCGAGTGTGTCAGCACTGCAGGAGGACAAACCTGTCAGAGCTGAAAGGGTGAGAGAGGGAGGGAGGTTGAAGGAGAGCGGAGGTGTCAGTGTGTGACTGATTGCGGCCCTCCACTCGCAAGGCTATAGCCCCCTCCTCACCATCACCCCGTCTCTGCACACAAATCTCTTCACTCGCACCAACACACACAAGTGCTTTCAGCATCGCTATTCAGTGGTGGAGCTGTGCAGCTACTAGAAAATGTCCAAGTACAAATATTGGACAATTAGTTGACTAGTTGGTCTTAACAAAGACCTCGATTTCAAAAACACTGGTTTAATTCATTATCCAGTCATCTATAAAACTGGCCTCAAATCAGTAACATATGAAACAGAGCCTACTTGAAACCCATTTTACTTGTAAAATGGCACATTTCCAATTAAAATACTATATTCAACTATTTAATCATATTGATTTTCATTTGCTCCATCGAAAAATTTGTTTCAGTTGAACCCCTCACACAAATCTTGCAGTTACAAGCGAACCCATTATATGGCCTTCTGGAGAAGGAATGAATGCATTCATTAATAATTTATTTTTGAATATTTCATTTAAAATTGTCATTTTGTATATTTTATTTGATATTTAAATTATATTATTAATTAAGTGTAATTTATTATTTAAAAAGAGTAATTAAAACTCAAATAAGACACTAGAGATGAGCGGCCCACAGAATGATTAACTAAAATCATTGTTAACTAAACGCATTATTTATTAATTTACTTTTAAATATTTACTTAAATTATTTTAATGTGTATATTTATTTCATTTGTCATTATTTATATTTATTTTTCATTATTTGGTTATTCAAATGTAAAATAAAAAGGATGATGCTGAAGAGAATGAAGAGATGGCACTGTGGAAACCATTTGCGCACAGAATGAATGAATGATTGAATTAATTAATTTAATTAGAATTTTTTTTTTTTTACATTATTTTAATGTGTATGTATTTTTGTAATTTATTCATTAATTCCAAAATTTTTTACATTTATACAATTAAAAATTAATAAAACATAAAAATAAAATCAATTAAAATCTCTATAAATGAGGTGATATCTTTAGGATAATTAAAAATAGTTTGCATGTGTCAACACACAGAATGCCAAATAGTATTAAATGTATGACCATTTCCTTTTGACTAGTTATTCTTAAGGAAGCCCTAAATAATCAGGGTCCATCAGACCAGGATCAGATGCCATTTTTATAGCTCACACAATATGCAATCTTGGCATTTATTAATTATTTTCTTTCTTTATTTCTGTGCTACAAAAGCAGGTCGTCACATCAGCAGTTACCACGGGCCCCTTGCGCTCACTTTCTGTCTCTCAGCTAAAAATACAGAGTGCTTCTGCAGCAGTAAACCATTGCAGTTTCGATGTTGGGAAGTGCTGTGCTCATGCATGGCACTGCTGACCACTGGTTCTGCTGTACTGAAGCTCAGACATGCTGAGAATGTCCTTAATTAATGGAAAAAAAGTGTGTGTTTATGTGTGTGTATGTGTGCATGGTGAGCCAGGCGGGGGATGATTTATTCCAGTGTCACCTTGACCCCTGACGCAGAGATACAGCTCAATTAAACAGGATTGGCCCCACGGCACTGCTTTCATCTACAGCCCGTGAGTTCTGCAAAACACGGACACACACAGGGCCACATTCACTGGATCCAATAACATCCATATGGAGCGCTTTTCACATCCCTCTGCCACCAAAAACCAAAAATGCTAATGACCTAAACCAAAATATACCAAAGAACGCAATGAAACATAAATGAAGTAAGAAGAATTGATTCCTACAGGCTGTATTGTTTCTTCTGTGGTTCCTAATTGCCCTTCAAGGCTTCTGTTTCCAAAGCATTTTAAATCATTATCCAGAGATCTATAAAACTGGCCTCAGATCAGTGGTAGGACATGAAACAGAATCAACATGAAACAGCATTCGCAACCGTTTTACTTCCATAATGTAGCGTGTTTGCAAGTGAAATACGATATTGAACGATCTAATCAGATTGATTTTCCTTTGCGCCTTTTTCTGCTGCAGGCAACAATGAAAAATATTTTCCCACTGAATCCTTCACCTCAAATTTTGCAGTTACGTTGGATGAATCCATTGGATGGTGCTGTGGAGATGTGCCATCCGTCTATTTAGTAATTTCCAGTACTTACTTTTTCTCTTTTTTCTTTCTTTTTTCTTTTTTTAAGTACTACATTAATTTACTTAAGCTTTTTTTTTAAATACATATATTATTTATTTTATTTTTATTTAGAAATGTCATTTAAAAACACTTGAAAAAATGAATGAGTAAAATTAATATGCATTCATTATTAATGTAATCTTGAATAGTTTTTATTACTTTATTTTAAATTATGTAATTATTTTGTTAATTCCTTCTCATTTTTATTTATTTGTTTTTTTTTATTAGGACATACTGCTCACAACTAATTTTCACAAATATGTATATATATATAATATTTTTTATTGATTGTTTTTATAATTATTTTTTATTAATAAATTACTTTTAAACATTTAAATAAATATTTAATTTATTATTTTATTACCTAAATCTACTGTTGCAAACAAATCTTTTGGATGTCATTCTGGAGAAATATTTAGTAATTTTTTTTATTAATTTACTTCATTAAACTTTTACTTTTAAAATTCTTTCCTTTACATTTTTTAATTAATATATAACTATGCATATTTTATTTAAAAATGTAATTTAAAAGAACATCAGTAAGGTCATTAAAAAAAAGCACTATATAATTCACAATCCGTAATGAACGGTTAAATGAGAAATTTAACAATAACTTTTAATAAAAAAAACTTAATGAAGTCTGAAGAATAGACAACTTTAATTTTTCCCCCTCAAACTCAGATGACGCATAAAACCAAGCAAGTTAAAGCGGCTAGTCGGTTTACCTGCAAAAGCCTTGGAGATATGTTCCTTCTTCCACTCCCACGGTTGGTCGTATTCGTCAGCGGGCCTCTCGTCGTCCTGCGGCAGCCTGCTCTCCCTCCCTTCCTCAGGCAGATCCGGCTGCCCTGGGACGCGCTCCTCATATGGGGTGTCATAGAGCTGGACCTCCCCTCTCCCCCATCCTCCTGCTCCACCACCAGCTTTCCTCTGCAGCTCTGCAACACCAAACAAACCTGTTATAAACTTTCCCAAATTAAATGTTAGAAAGCCATCCAAAATGTAGAAGAGTAGGTTTTTCATCAGAACAGATTTGGAGAAGTTTAGCTTTACATCACTTGCTCACCAATGGATGCTCTGTAGTGAATGGGTGCCATCAGAATGAGAGCCCAATCAGCTGATAAAAACATCACAATAATCCACACCACTCCAGTCCATTAATTAACATCTAGTGAGGCAAAAAGCCGGAGGTTTTTAAGTAACAACTCCATCCCTGTGCATATTCCTCTCCTGATTTAGATAGGACAACTTTTACACCGGAGAAAGCAATAACATTGAGAAATGACTGAAAGAAAACAGCTATTTTAGCTGAAAGAAACAGTTTGAAGTTAAAAACATCTTGATGGATTTGTTTCTCACAAACACACAGCTTTTGCTTCACAAGATGTTCACTGATGACTGGAGTTACATGTGGATTATTGTGATGTTTTTATCAACTGTTTGGACTCTCATTTTGACGGCACCCATTCACTGCAGAGCATCCACTGGTGAGCAAGTGATGCACTGCTACATTTCTCCAAATCTGTTCCAATGAAATAAACAAAAAAACAAACTTCATCTACATTTTGGATATCCTGACAGTGAGTACATTTTCATTTTGGGGGGAACTATTTCTTTAAACAAAACCAAACTGTGGTCATTCACATTGTGTGTCAGTCACATGGCATATCCAAGTGCAGTTCGTTGCTAGTGTTGATAGTCCAATATCTGGCTTTGTAAGATTATTGTCATAACAGTTGGGTTTGAAAGCTGATTCAGGTATCTTCTAGAAGTTTCATTGTGGCATGTGTTCATTAAAAAAGCGGCGTGAGACAGGCCGCGCTGTTAAATCAAGACAACAATAAATCGATATATTCCCTGGGCTCCACAGCTGGGCTCCCTCGCCTGGGCCACATTAATTATGAAAATGTCTGGTGAAGAGTGGCAGGGTATGAATCTGAAGGAGAGACAAATTGTGTTTGCACAGCTTGCCGGCTTCATATGGGAGGGTTTAACAAAGAGGGAAAGAGATGCGAGTGTGTGCGTGTGCGCAGACCCAGTCCAATCTCAAGGACTGGGGTCTCTCATCTCTCCTGATGGGGATTTTCATTTCCATTATCATACCTCTCAAACGACAAGCACCAAACAACAGGATGTCTGAATGACCTTCAAGTGCTTTTCAGCAAAAATAACATGCGGTTAAAAGCCTATATGAAAAGAACTGCAACTACAAAATGTTTTGAGAAATATCATGCTTTCAAGTTTGCTTGCTAAACTTTTGACTTGAATCAGAGTGAACTAGCGAGACAGTGGTATTAAAACTCTGGTTGATCCCAATATAATTCTGGCCAATACCGATAAACCGATAATTATTTATTTGATACCTGATATTAAAATTATAAAATATTTTGGTTTAAATAAATTAAACATAAAACACTAATTACAAAATTCTATCGTTTTAAATGCTAGTGAATTGCAGAATCAGGGTTATTATTGTTAGCTAAAACTAAAATAATTGTAAAATATTTTATGTAATAATGTAATAAAGAAATTTTGCCTTGCCAACTAGCTGAAATAAAATAAGTACTAAAATAACTGAACCGTTTAAAAAAAACGAATACAATAAAAACACACAACAAAACTACTAAAACTTTACCTTCAAACTAAAATGAAAAAAAAAAATCTACATTTTAATTTTAGTTAAAGTTTTAGTAATTATAGTACTTTAACTTGGTTTATTTCAGTTAGGGGAACATTTCTAATATTCATTTAAGCTTTTTAAGTTTAAAATTAAATATTTATATTTTATTTTATTTCAAAAAATGTAAAAGCTTTAGTAAACTATAACACTGGCATGCACAATAAAATATTCAATTTTAATCAATACATTAAATCAAAATAATTTTAATATCGGTTAAAAACCTGTATGGAACCGATATATTGTGCAAACACCGTATTTAATAGACACTATAAAGAACACAAATGCTGTTGATTCAAAGCTGTAGAGAAATCTGAACATTCTCTTAATCTTTTCAACCCTAAATGCTAATTTACAAAGACATCCATGAATTAGTCACTTGAGTCTCATTCGGCGAACAGACCAGACATTAAAAATTACGAGAAGCATGAAACCAAACAGACCAGACATGGGACGGACTGCCTGGAAAGGAATACTGGCATGGATGTGTGCTTCAATGAGGAAGAAAGAAAGAAAAAGAAAGAAAGAAATCAGGCAGGCGTACAGTAACAAGAGAAAGACAAACTTTAACCTTCACACATCCTGCTTCTATTGGGCTCTTTAGCTGTCTCCATAGCGACAAAGAGGGGGCCCTGAGGGACAGACCCTGAGGTGGAGGGAGAGGGAGAGCTACAAGAGTGTGTGTGTTGATGTTAAGCATTTGTGACGAGCGAGAGAGGGGCTGCTAGATTCCCCCGTACCTGAGAATTGATGGAGAATGAGAGAAGAGATTAACCTGTAGAGATGGATTGAAAATTAAATGAGGCTGCCTTGAAGGCAAGACAGATCTGAGGAGAAATTAAGGTGGATGCTGGGGTCCTACGGCAAGAAAATACAACACAATTCCCTGAAAATATCTAAGGAACGCAATGCATTTCAGCTGTGTTCCAAAACCTTGCAAAGTTTTTCTATATAGACAGCTACCTTCTAAGTGGTTGTTCACACAGAGCTCGTATTCATATTTCACTGCGATGCCTTCTCATTGTTTTCTATGCAACTATAATACTACAGCGCTCACAACTTTTGCAGCTTGAAAATATGTAAACTTTTAAAGTTCTCCTATTATGGGTAATGAAAGGTTCATATTTTGGTTTTGGGAGTCCCCAACAACAGGTTGACATGCATGCAAGGTCAAAAAACACTTTCATTGTCTTATAATATGCATTTATTTCTACCTTATTTGCTCAACGACTCCCAAACGATTCACTCAACGATTAATTTTTCCAAACCCCTCGTTTGAGTGACGCTAATCTGCGGTGATTGGTTCGATAGGTCTCATTTTCATTTCATCCTGCCTGTAATGCCTGATAAAGCAGCGTTTGTGAGCACAGTGCTGCTTTGTGTGCAGCGTTACCGGGGAAACAGCTATTTTTACCGCTCCAAAAGCGGCACCTATTGGCAAAGAATGAATTAGTATTTTCATTCAGACCAAAGCAAAAAGACCAACAAGTGGGCGGGCAATATGCTAATGTTTCATGTTGATGTCAACATGAAACGGCTTTGGATTCATTTTAAAAACGTTCCTCAAAATAGCATTTATGTTCAGCAGAATAAAGAAACTAATTCAGGTTTAAAACAACTTTTGAGTGAGTAAATGATGGTATAAAAATCAGAATTGACAGACAGATGACAGAATTTTTGGGTGAACTATTTCTTTAACATTAATAAAACAACAAAACACAAAAAGAAAAATCACTCATTATTCTTGACTGAAAAACTTTAATAAAGTTGTTTTAGGAATCAGTCTAAATAGTGTTTTATTTTTATGTTTGTTCATTCAATTTCTTGAATGCTCCTGCTAAATACACTGAAAATAAAGCACTGTTTATTTATTTGTATATTATGTGTAGTTGTAATGTGTATCTTTTTTCTTATTTTTTAATAACAAAGATAAAATAATGACAAATATGTTTATCTATCTTCGCCCACTTTGGCCTAAATATCTGCATTTGTTTTTTTTTTTAACCTTGAAAGGCATTGTCTTTATAATAGGGAAATTAGTTTTGATGTAATGCTTAGACAACTTACAAAACAGTAAAACCAACATGACAAAGAATCGTGATAAAATCGTGAAAAAAAAAAGAAATTTGTGATATGATATTTTTTCCATATTGCCCACCCCTAGATGGGAGTTGTGTTAGCACACTGCTAAGCTAATGCTAGTCATGACACTCTAAGTAGTAAAGAAAATACAACCCCAAACAAATACCAGGTACAACATTTAAGTTAGTTATATTGGATTTAACTAACACATTGAATAAGAATGAAATTGTGTCCAGAAGAATTAGCATTAGCGGTTTTCAGCCATTGGTTGCCTGAGGAAATTTTGTAATGGTTTTTCAGAATAACAGTTTTCGTGAGTAAAATAAGGTTATGTTTTGTTATATAACATAAATTAAAGTCATTGAAGTCACTTAATTGAGATTTTGAAGCAGTTGTGTGCTTTAAAATGCTAGCTGCTAACAAGTCGCTAAATAAGGACTACAGCTACGATAAAGATCTGAGTTTACATACTTAACAAATCAGGCAACCACGTTAGCAACTTGCATTTTTAAGAAAATGTGCTCTAAATTGGCATGTTTGTAATTGCAATGCCGGTTAAAAGCCCATTTGAAATGAACCGCAACTACAAATTGCTACACTAACATATTCCTCTAAATAAATAAATAAACTAACTGTAAAATTCCGCTTCCATTTTAGCTAAAAAATTGCTTGGGAAAGTGTGGTCTTGAATCAGCAGATAATGTGAAATAGGAAAACATTGGTAATAAAATTCTGCCCAATAAATATAAACCGATAGTTATTTAACCGATAACTGACAATATTTAAATTATATTCCACTTGTATAGAATAAATTAAATTGTCTGAACACATTAAAGTGCACCTATTACGGATTTTTGAAAATTACCTTTCATGCAGTGTATAACACAGCTCCAAGTGAATGAAAACATCCTGCAAAGTTTTAAATCTGAAAGTGCACCGTGTATAAAGTTATTGTCTCTCAAAAGAAAGAGTCGACTCTGAATCACTGAAACAAGTCGTTTTTAAAACGAATCCCAAGACGTTTCATGTTGATGTCAACATGAAACATTAGCATATTGCCCGCCTACTTGTTGGTCTTTTTGCATTGGTCTGAATGAAAATGCTAATTCATTCTTTGCCACTAGGTGCCGCTTTTGGAGCAGTAAAAATAGCTGTTTCCCCGGTAACGCTGTACACAAAGCAGCACTGCGCTCACAAACGCTGCTTTATCAGGCATTACAGGCAGGATGAAATGAAAATGAGACCAATCGAACCAATCACCGCAAGATTAGCGTCATGCAAACGAGGGGTCTGGAAAAATGAATCGTTGAGCAAATAAGGTAAAAATAAATGCATATTATAAGATAATGAAAGTGTTTTTTGACCTTGCATGCATGTCAACCTGTTGTTGGGGACTCCCAAAACATGAACCTTTCATTACCCATAATAGGGGCACGTTAAAACACTAAAATCAGTAATTTTGATACAAGTGAAAATCAGTATTACAACATTATAATTTACAGTATGAAAAATGTATATTAATTTTCAGTTAACAGTGCTATTAAATTATTAGTGTTTTTAAAGTTTAATTTTAAGTGAGTGTTAGATAACAACAAAGATAGTCTGAATGTAAAAAAAGGGGAAATTAGGTAAATTGAGGTATGACTGTGTCATTCACACTGTGGAACAAAACCAAATGTGAAAGTCTCTTGAGCTAATGCTAACTACAGACCCCATTTTCTCATAAATCAAAAAGCACTATTCTAAAAACCCACAGGAAATTCCTGAGGGAACCCATAGCAAATTAGCCATTCTGGCCAGCAACCTGACGTCATGACTAAACAACTCTACACGAGTTAGTTATAATAGTCATTTCTCTGGACTCTGCTGGTACCACCAATGCATTGTGGGCCTGCTTCAACTGCAAATGATACATGCAATGCTGCCTTAAGATTTGGCCAGTAAAATATTTGTGGCTACCTTTTGGAACGGTCTTCCCTGATGAGGTATTAAAATGTCTAGGTTTTAAAGATTAAATCTCTCAAATCAGCAAGTGAGAAGGGCAAAGTTCAACAATTTGTAAGGAATAAAACAATGGAACAGATTACATGAATATAAAACTGTAATCTGTGAGACTCAGCAGTGAGTCACTGTCTGACATCACTGGATGTCTGGGGAGTCACTGAGAAAGACACACTCACACTTCATTCTCTCCATAAGACTCAAAGGGCAAACCAGACTCCCCTGGGCTATGGGAACACACACCAAAAGAAACAGGACAAAGTCTGACTGACCGGTTATCACTTTCTGGGCCTCGTAGGGCTCCATGTACCCGTTGTTCTCAGGAGTGATCGGGCCTTGAGCTGTTTCGGGACGCAGGTCCAAATGAGCATCAAATGGGTCGGAGTAGTCCGTATCTCCCATGACTGGAGCTGAAGGAACCACCTGAAACAAGAACAAAATCATGTGGTGATCTTCAGCCAGAAGAGGGGACAAACTGAAGCTTATCTCGGTTTGCTGAGGGATGAATGAAGGGAAATAATTTCACATAATTATAAGGCAAAAGAACCCACTTGTACTGTGTGTTTCACAGTAAGGCACAGCAACGTGTTCATTTACACGTGAGCAGCTCATGATCCAATGTTTTAAGTGTCTCAGAGCAGCGCAGTTCAAACAAACTCCATCTCTGTGAGTTTGCATCACTTATAACATTAATTTGGGAACACAACACGCAACCATCTATAACTAGAAATGAGCTTATAAACCAGCTCTTGTCAAAAGAGAGGAAAGAGAAGCTTTAAGAGCTTATTTAAAAAAAAAAGTATTTTAACTTTACAGTTGTACTGTAAAATAGGGCTGCATGATAAATCGCATGCGATATTTAACATGCATCTTGTCAGAAAGCCGGTTCTGTAATCAGCGGTAAATCTCCATCACCTGTGGGCTTTCACATTGAGCAGCATTAACTACACAGAGCCATTGCTCAGACGAGCTGTGCCAAAAATCGCGCAAATGTGAACGTGGTTTTGCACAACTTGTCAGTGAACAACGGCTCTGAGTAGTTAATGCTGCTCAATGTGAAAGCCTGCAGGTGATGGAGATTTACCGTTGATTACAGAACCGTCTTTCTGACAAGATGCGCTCTAAATATCGCATGCGATTTATCGTACAGCCCTACTCTAAAATAAAATATTTCTTAACCCCTTTTTCTAAACTCCTCAGATGTATGACTACTTAACATTTTAATAATATAATATAATATAATATAATTAGGGCTGTGCAAATAATCGAATGCGATTTTTGTGATTAGTAGTAAATCTCCAGCACGTGCTTTTAGATGTTGTGGCATTTACTACAATATCGCGTTCAAAATCGCAAATGCGATTCATTGCCGATTATGAACGCGATATTGCGTAGCTTGTCAGTCGGCATTTACTACAATATCGCGTTCAAAATCGCAAATGTGATTCATTGCCGATTATGAACGCGATATTGCGTAGCTTGTCAGTGAACTACGGCTCTGTGTAGTAAATGCCGCAACATCTAAAAGCACGTGCTGGAGATTTACTACTAATCACAGAACCGGCTTTACTGACGAGATATGCATGAAAATCGCATTCGATTATTTGCACAGCCCTAAATGTAACGTAACGTAACGTAATGTAACATGCTGGGCAATGATTAAATTTTTTTATCATTATTGAATTTTGTGCATAACAATGGCGATTAATCGCCATTCCGAGTAGAGACCTGCTCAATCGCAGGACCCAACGCAGCAGAGTGCGGCGCAGGACAACACTTGATGGGCGAGTGCGGGTGTGGGCATGTAGAGACTCGTGTGTGCGGGATGCGGGAGAATAAGGGTGTACTCGGACTAAGCAATCTTAACCGTGCCTGAGTGCTTTTGACCCCCAAAGCTCGGTTCGTTTGACTAGTGTGATCGCTCCGTGCCACGGTTCGTTTAGCCAGCCCTGGCTCGGTTGGAAGAGGTGGGTCAGAGCGCGGCTCAGTTGGGCTCGGGTGCGGTACACATGTAGTGTCGGAGCGCGGAACTTCTGATACGTGCAGCACGATTGCGTAAACATTTCTGAGTGGCAAAAGTGATAGATCTGTAAAGCATAATATATTGTGAGAGAGGGCACATCACAAACAACTCAAAATAATAAACCACAGAGTTAACAAAACTATGCACTTCACTGTGCTGAGCGAGAGCGCTTCTCTGCTGTCTCCACATAATGACACCCATCCCAAGCCAGTACTGATCAACATCCCACCACCATGGTTTGCCTGTATGCATATTCAGAGCCAGTGAGCAATGGACGTTTGTAAAAAAATAAAAAAATTAATATAGTTAATGCGTGATAAAATAATTGTCTACGTTAATGCGTTTAACGTGATAACGCGTTAACTTGCCCAGCCCTAAATATAATATACTCTAAAAATAAATTTGTTGAAGTTGTAAATAAAACAAGGATTATTGTATGTTTTACAAGAAAACACTATTTCAGTCTTTCTACGTTTACTTGCTGTTTGTAATTATTTGTGAAAATTACTAGCAAATTAGTAATCTATATATACACAAATATTTATATATTATACATTGTACACACACACACACACACATATATACATATATATAATAGTGCTGTCAAATTATTAAACGCGATGAATCCAAAATAAAAGTTTCCGTTTACATAATATATGTGCGTGTACTGTGTATATTTATTATGTATATATAAACACACACATACAGCATATATTTTGAAAATATTTAAATGTATATGCTTACATTCATATAATTAATATTATAAATGAAGATATTTAATATATAAATGTAACATTTTTCTTAAATGTATACATGCATGGGTGTGTTTATATATACATAATAAATATACACAGTACACACACATACCATGTAAACGAAAACTTTTATTTTGGATGCGATTAATCATTTGACAGCCCTAATAATATATATATATACACACACACATACACACATATATTATTCAAATAGTGATTTTTAAATTTTATTAATTTAATTTGTATAATACTACAACTACTAGTATTATTATTATATATAATTTCTCATATACACTAAAAATAATTTTTTGAAGTTGTAAATAAAACAAAGGATTATTGTACGTTTTACAAGATACCGTTTCAGTCTTTCTACATGTTACTTGCCATTTTTAGTAATTTGTGAAAATTAGCAATTTATATTGTACTCTATATATACATAAATATTTATATATTGTACATTTTACATATACATATAAATATGTAATATTAATTTTAAAAAATTTATTTGTATTATACTTTTTTATACTAGTACTATACTATTATTATTGTTGTTATTATTATTATTATTATATTCTCATATTGATATGTAATCACAAAATTTCGGACCATATTGTGCAGCCTACAAGCAAGCACAGCATACCTGGACCTTATAAAATACAAATAAAAATAAAATAGCAGTTTTAAAATAAGAAAATATAAATTTTCCTCCCCCCAAATCATGCAGCCCTTGTGTCTTCACATACTTTCAAACGTGTACATTCAGCAACATCACCTCATACAGCGCAAGACATTGAAAACCAGCACACTTGCAAAGATGTGCTACCTTTTCCCGTGAAGGAGGAGGCGGCAGTGGGGAAGTGTTGATGAGCGTGTTAGGAGGTGCGTTTGTCTCCCATACCAGGCCGGGGAGGAAGCCCTCAATCAGTTGGCACTGGGACAATTACAAAGACGGCCATATGGTCTCTCAAACAAGGGCTTTAGCCAACGGCTCCGTGCGTGCAACAATCTCCCAATTTCCCACCAGGCAAATCGCCCAATTGTCTGGCTGATCTTTAACAAGAATACAAGGACAATAAATCTGAAATGTTCATTAGAAACGCTATAAAAACTTAATTAGGATTATGGTGGAAATTAATGAAGGTTAACAGGGAATGATGCGTAACGGTGCTCGCAAGACAATGCACTTAGAGGGTCGCCATTAAATTGGGATTTAAATCGATGGCGCGGCATTGGCATGGCTGTTTTTCAAGCCCAACCAATCAGCTCGCTCATCACTGGTACTGATTACAATCAATGAGACTCCACTGAAGGCTGCTATCTGTCTGTGGCCATGTGTGTGTGCACGGATTCCTCCGCTGTCTGCCAGTATTGAGTCTCTACTCAATGTCTGATCACAGGACGAACCTTCCTGGCTCTTGTGAGTATTCTCTATGGGACCGCCCCAACCCCACCAGCCTAACTAAACTCCATGTATTATTCAAGAGCTTCAGCTGTGGTGGATCAAGGGGTTTTGACACCTACGGTGCTCCGAGACACGAAATCTAATGCAGGGTTAACAGAGGGTTTACATGAAAGATTATTTCACACCGCAAATCACTTGTTCGACAGTTTGTTTTATGTATTTCATCACCTGATGGCTTCAGGGATCACCAAAACTCCTCAGATCTACAACTACTTAGCGTTTTAAAACACAGTAAGTAGTGTATATTGAGTTTATGTATATATCATTTTTTCCACATATACACTAAAAAAATACATTCAAAGTTGTAACTACAACAAAGATTATTTTGCAAGAAAACTCTACTATATATATTATTATAACACACATACATATAAATATATATACATATATATATATATATATATATATATAGTAATTTCAAAAGTAATTATATACATTTCTAAAATAATTACAAAGACACAGCAAATAACATATTGAATTGTTTTACATATACACTAGTCAACATTTGAAGTGGATCAAAACCTTTCATTAAAGTTGTCCTAAACCCTAAAAACAAAATACGTTCTCATCATAAGACAACTTTAATGAACATTTTTGATCCACTTCAAATGTTGGCATCTACATACATGCATATATATATATATATATATATATATATATATATATATATATATA